CTCCCAAGTGGGTGCAGGGACCCATGCACTTGGCCACCTTCTGCTGCTTTCCCAGGTGCATCAGCAGAGAGCTGGATCAGTAGTGGAGCAAGGCTTACACTGACACTTTATCATTGAAGATGGCGGTTTAACCCACTGTGCCGCCGCGGCGACCCCCAAATGCTCCAAGTTCTGAATAGGCTCTTCACAAAAGATGCGCAGGTGTGGTCAATGAACACATGAAACCCAGTAAGGATGGAACCATGTAAAGTGGGCACAGAGCATCTTCTGGTGCCAGGAAGTAAGGAGGTTCTCAAAACAAAACAGCCAGCCACGAGGACTGCGGAGAGGAAGTCACAAGTACCCAGCAGCCACCTGAGAGACGGCCCGCAGACAAAGATGAACCTTTGCACAGCAAAATAACGAACTAAGTAATTACTTAACTGAAATATTCAATAATTAAATAATAAAAATAACTGAAACATTTAGCTAAATAACTAAGCACTTAATCTCATTAAAAATGGGATTATAGGGCCGGCGCCGCGGCTCACTAGGCTAATCCTCCGCCTTGCGGCGCCGGCACACCGGGTTCTAGTCCTGGTCGGGGCGCCGGATTCTGTCCTGGTTGCCCCTCTCCAGGCCAGCTCTCTGCTGTGGCCAGGGAGTGCAGTGGAGGATGGCCCAGGTGCTTGGGCCCTGCACCCTCATGGGAGACCAGGAGAAGCACCTGGCTCCTGGCTCCTGCCATCGGATCAGCGCGGTGCGCCGGCCGCGGCGGCCATTGGAGGGTGAACCAACAGCAAAGGAAGACCTTTCTCTCTGTCTCTCTCTCTCACTGTCCACTCTGCCTGTCAAAAAAAAAAAAAAATGGGATTATAACCCAAGGTAGGAAACATGTAGCCTTGAGTCCATGCTGACATAAACAAATGCATGGCAGAGAACAGATCTTCCAGACGGAAGACTTCCAAGTACTTTGGGGAGATTCCCTCAAGGGGTTGAAGGGAAGCCCCCCTCTCCTTAGCTGTGGGCTGTGTGTAGCGACCTCCGAGGAGGCAGCAAGGGAAGAAGGGAAAAGAGAAATCTGACAGTCACCTTCGTCAGGTCCTCAAGGTCAGCTCGCCCACCACGCCGGCAGCAGACACCTGGGCGGGGCATGTGGAGAAGGGCGTTTTCCCTCCATCGACTTCTTCACAAAAACATGGAGTCCCAGTGCAATCACCGGAAGCACGCCAGACAAATTCCATCATGGAGGACATTCTACAACACGCCCGGCCAGTGCTCAGAACGGTCAAGGTCCTCAAACAAGGGTGGGCTGGGAAATCGTTGGCCAGGAGGAGTCACGACTAATTGCAAGGTGCTATCCTGGATGGGATCCTGGACAGAAAAAGTCCACTGGGCACAAGCATGACAGCTAAATAAACGTGGGAGTTTAGTTGATAAAAATGGTTGCTGTTGGTTTGTTAATTATAATAAACGTACCCAACGTTGTCAGCAATGGGCTAACCTGGGTTTTGGGTATATGACAATACCCTACCAGAAATTCTCACTGATTTTCTGTGAGCTGAAAGTTGTTCTAAAATAATTTTTAAAAAACCACCTGTTTAGAAAAACCAACATGCTCGCACATCATTAGCCATGAAGGGGACTAAAATTAGAAGCCAAGGAACACCACTCTGCAGACCGAACAGCTGAAACGGGAAGCATCAATAGTAGCTCACGTCGGCAAGGGAGAGCAGGGGTGTGGAACAACGGAGCTCTCCTCCCAGGCAGGAGGGAGTATAAAATCACAAAGCCACTGGGAGAACAGTTAAACAGCTTATTTTAAAAGGATTTATTTTATCTATTTGAAAGGTAGAGTGACAGAAAAGGGAGAGACAGAGAGAGAGAAAGATCTTTCACCCACTAGTTCACTCCCCAGATGGGCAGAAGCCCACAACGGCATTTGGGTCTCCTATGGGGGTGGGGTCCAAGCTCTTGGGCTACCTCCCACTGCTTTCCTAGTACATTAGTGGGGAGCTGGATCTCAGCAGAGCAACAAGGACTTCAATACGGGATGCCGGCGATGCAAGCTACAGCTTAACCTGCAGTGCCAGTTCTGGTTCCAGTTTGCTAAGTTTTAAATGAAGTTATAAAGTTAAAAGAATACTTGATATTCAACCCAGAAATCCCAAAGTAGATATTTACCAAAGTAAAATGAAGCTTAAGTCTGCCCAGAAGTTCATGGCAGTTTTATTCATGAAGTCCCAGAACTGGAAATAATCCAATGTCCATCAATTCGTGAAAGGTTAAGCATACTGGGGTATATTCTGTAAGGTAACATTCTTCAGCCATAAAGAGAATGGATTACTCATGGATATCACAACGTGAGTAAGCCTCAGCAACACCATGACGAATGAAAAGAGCACGCCCTGTATGATTCCATCTATATGAAATCCCGGAACAAGCAAAAAGCAATTAATAGTGATAAAAAGCCAATCACGGGCTGCCTTGGGCGGAGGGTGAGGGAGGGGCTTGACAGCCCAGTGGCCCAGGGAGCTGTCTGAGGTGAGGAAAATGCTTGCGCCGTAATTGCAGTAGTGGGGAGCCTGTACTAGAGGACTTCAGAAGGTTCAGGGACAAGGGGAATTAACAGACAAGCTATCTTGGTGCAAAAGTATTTTGAAATCAATGCATTTTTTCATAATATGTATTTCCATGAACTTTGTTAATCAAAACACACTGAGTCGTGTACTTAAAGTGAATGTATTTTGGCTGGCGCCACAGCTCACTAGGCTAATCATCAGCCTGCGGTGCCATCACCCCGGGTTCTAGTCCTGGTTGGGGCACTGGATTCTGTCCCAGTTGCTCCTCTTCCAGTCCAGCTCTCTGCTGTGGCCCGGGAATGCAGTGAAGGATGGCCCAAGTGCTTGGGCCCTGCACCCACATGGGAGACCAGGAGGAAGCACCTGGCTCCTGGCTTCAGATTGGCGCAGCGTGCCGGCCGTGGCAGCCATCTGGAGGGTGAACCAATGGAAGGAAGACCTTTCTCTCTGTCTCTCTCTCTCTCACTGTCTAACTCTGCCTGTTAAAAAAAATAATAAAAAAATTATAAAACAAATATATTTTATTGTGTACAATCAAGTTGATCTTTCACAAAGGAAAAGAAAAAGCACACTGCCTACCTGAACTGCACTGTTCAGGTGCTCATTGTAGAAGAAGGCCTCAGACACCACCACGGGTTCCCGTCCTGTGTCCTGGCTCATCCCCACATTCTCCGCTTGGACACTGCTTCTTCTGTGCCCAGCACGTGGAACCTCAGCGGCCTGTGTCTCACACACACATCTCACCAATCAAAAAGACGCCACTTGATGTTCCCACATGGCCGCTCCAAAGCTCCTTCAACCAGGCTCACAAACCTGCTCAGAGCAGGCGCCTGGTCTGTTCTGACATGAGGGGCCATCAGCGTGGCAGTGTCCTTACCCTTCCCGGCCTCACCACACCATCACCAACTTTGGTTCCTTTGTAAATGTCTCCCCAGCTATGGAAAGCTCCCTTTTCCGTCACCTGAGCTTGTCTTCCAAGACCCTGAGTTCAACCTGAGGGCTGCGGCATGCTCCTCCCTCTCTTGACTGGATCTGCACACCCTCTGTCCTTCATGCCACAGCCAGGGTGGGTTAATCACTGTCCGTTACCTTACACCTTTCCAGGCTCTCCCTGCCCTCAGAAGGAGCCCAGAATCAAGTGGTGTCCCTGGCCCCCACTCCCAAGAGCCCCCTCAGGCTGGCACTGGCCTCCCCTCCATTCCAGAAATGGTCTGAGTTCCCACTCATATCTGGGCTTCAGCCCGTGCTCCACTGTAGTGCATCCCCTCCCTGCCCCCACCCCCAACCTGGCTGAAGTCAACTAATTGTTCAAATCTCAGCCCAAATGTCCCTCCACCCACACCTCTAGACCTAATGAGATCTGTCTATTAGTCACTCCCAGGGGACCACACCTCCCTTTCACTAACAGTTAACTAAATCAAAATTATGTATACATTTTCTCCTGTAATGATTTGGTTAATCCATCAACCAACCAATCATTTACACCTATGAACAACTTCATCATGGCAGGGCCCCATTTGACAGGCAGAAGACTAGCCCAGTAGTGATCTTCCCAATTCAAGCCAGCCTATCCTATCATGGCTCCACCTACTCTGGTCCCACCTCTGCTCTCCACTTCTGTCCAATCACGTCTCAAACTGATGAGTGACAAAGCTATATAAAGACAATGGGCACGAAGCACAGAGCAGTCAGCTTCTTGCAGGGCTCCTGGGTGGTCACAGCCTGCTCCATGCTCCCTCCTTCCTGCCTCCTTCCTGCCTGGTGAGAGCTACATTGGAAGGCTGACATCAGGACCACAGCCCTGATCCTGTGGATATTCTGAGACTCCAAACCCTCAGGCCTCTCTTCCTTGAAGGATCTCTTTGAAGTGGTTCCTGCTTCTCAGACTTCAAGACCAGCTGCAAAGAACACCACCTCACGGAGATCAGGTACTGGTCTGGGAGTCCCCATGGAGACGGGCAGATGTTGCATTGTCCCTGTGGGGACAGAATCTTGGGAGCCCTGGAAGAGCCAGTAGGACTCTGCTCTCGGGCTGTGCTCCCCCTCCCCCATCTGTTCCTCTTCCTCTAGGGTGGGACTGTTCCTTCACTTGACCAACATTAATCTCATGTCTCCCATGAGATTACCTGTAGGAATGGGAATGAATTGGCCAGCTGAGCTCTAGGCCCGTCCCTGTGTAATATGGCCACCTCTCCTCATCCTCTGAAGCCCACAGCCTTCACACAGCCCCCTCAGCTGTGGCCCACATGCAGCCAGGCTCATGGAGGGCAGCGAGCAGCGGTGCCCACCGTGAGTGGTGCCGTGGGGAGACGGGATCTGTGTGGTGCTTGGAAAACAAGGGTGTGGTTCTGGCCCCAGCTTAATGTGCTTAATCCTCTCTACCCACTCAGATTCCTTATGGAGGGACAAAGGCCGCAGAAACAGCGTTGCTTGTGCTCCATGGCCTGTGATCAAGGTACTGCCAAATGCCTGTTGCTTTCTTTTTGATTTTTTCCTGTCTTCCCCCCTATACTTTCGGTGTTTCCTTGTGTTAACACAGAGGTCTGAATATGGCATATTATGAGACACAGCAGTCCCTGCCCTTTCTCATTTTCCCACACCTTAAGGATAATCAGCTTACATCTGAGGAAACCATTTCTTTCTTTCTTTTTTTAGAATGAACTTGTGGCTTTATTGATTTTTTTCCAGATTTTTTTTTTAAGAATTTATTTGAGAGGAAGAATTACAGAAGGAGGGACAGAGAGAGGTCTTCCATTTGATAGGCCACTCCCCATATGGCCACAACTGCCAGAGCTGGGCCAATCTGAAGCCAGGAGCCAGGAGCTTCCTCTGGGTCTCCCACATGGGTGCACGGGCCCAAGGACTTGGGCCATCCTCTGCTGACCTCCCAGGCACATTAGCAGGAAGCTGGACTGGAAGTGGAGCAGCTGGGACTGCAACCAGTGCCCATCTGGGATGCTGAAGCATGAACCTGCTGTGCCAGAGCCGGCCCCTAAACAGTTTAACATTAGCTCTCATTCTGGAAATAATCTCTGCACAGTACTGATTTTTGTTTCTCATGTTAGACCGTGTATGGGCTTCCCTGCTGGCTGTAGGAGCATCAGCTCCAGTGTATCCATTCCTGTTTTCTCACCAGCACCAGCAAAGCCCTCTCTACGCCCTGACCCACCCATTCCAGCCCTCTCTCACCTTCTGCCCCACCCTACCTCCCAGAAACTCAGCTGAAAATGTCATGTTTGAAGAATACTAAGATGTCTTTTCCCCTCTCACATAATTTAAATTTTCCATGACTTTGTCTTGGATTATTTTTGCTTGCGGATCAGTAATTCCCTGAAATTCTTCCCCAGGTGTTTGAATTCCAACACCATCAAGTGTTCTATCATTTGCGCCTTCTCAGCCTAGACTGGCTCCAACCTACACTGGCTGCTCTAAGCTAGCTTCCAGCCATCATTTTGGGGTCTCCCTTTGCCGATAACAAGCAGTTCCTTTCCTTCTTTTAAGTTTCATCCCATTTCCTATAGCTTTTTCTTCTTTGGTTCGTTATTTTTTTAGACTAAGTTTTCTAACAGGCTCCCAATAATACATGTATTAAAAGAAAAATTGTAAAGGCCTTGCATGTGTGACAAGGATTCGTAGTGGTAGTTTGGTTGGGTATTGAATTTTGGGTGAGAAATGTGTTCCCTGAAATTCTGAAGACATTTTCCACTATCTTCTACGTTCTAATGTTGCTTTGGCCATGTCTTAGACATTCTGACTCCCGCTCCTTTCCCCTACTCTCTCCCTCTGCTCTAGGGTCTTCTGTTTGTTACAGCACTTAGAAATTTTATGGTAATATGCCTTTATTTCTCCTTATATTCTATTACCTTTCTTTTTAAATATTCTGGATTGTTGCTTTTTTCTGGGAGATATATTCAATTTTGCTTTCATGTCTTCCATGGAGATTTTAATTTCTGTTATCATATTTTAAATTTAAAAGTTCTAGTATTTGTTTTCTAAATGTTCCCTTTTAAAAGTATCTTTACCAGTATAATTGATTCATGGGTACAGCTTCCCCGCTCCTCTCTGGAGGGAATCAATTATAGAGCAGCTTTTGCGTATGGCAGGAACTGCTTCCTCCGTCGGCCTTTGTGGCTTGTCTAGGTTCTCCTCTCAGGGGACAGTCTTCTGCTGCTGGCAGCCTTCTGATCACTGCTCACTTCGAAGCTAAGTGGGAGCTCGGGGCCCATGGCTGGGGTGTGCTGGCCACGGTGCCACAGACTTCATAGGGTTGGTCTGTCTGCTGTTTAGTTTTCTTTTAGGCTGCTAAGGTTTCCCAGGCAAAGTCTTTAGTTGCTGTGCAAAGCCAGCTCTGTCACGGGTAAAGTTTCTGTAGATGTCTGTCTAGTTTCAGGCATTCTGATGATTCCATCACTTGACCCTTCACCTCTGTGTAAACCTCACACTAGCATTGTCACTGGAGCTGCACACTGCTTGATCTGTGAGGAACCAAGCACCCTCACCCTGCTCTTTTTCTGGAAGGTCTGATCATTGGGTAGCTGTTATTAAATTGCTCTCCAAAACCTCTTTATACGGAATATCCTGGATCTTTTCATCTTTGCCACTTTAATAGATGCATGATAGTATCTCAGTTTTTTTTGATTTAAATTGTTTTGTTAATATGTGAGGTGTAGCATCTTAGATGTATACAGACCTTTTGTTTTGCTCATTTTGCAGATTGCCTGTGACTGTTCGCTATTTTCTCCTATTGGGTTGCTCCTTGCATATCTGGGGTTTATGGACTCTGCTTGCTTCAGCTAGTTCAAGGCAGCCTCCCCACCTCCATTTCTGGGGGTGCATCTAGGCCAAGAAAGGGGAGAGGGTTCACGTAGAGTTATGCAATCGGAAAGGCTGCCGTGGCCCTCAGGGCGTGCTGCCACTCACGCCATCTCTGCACTGGTGTCTGGTCACTGACTCTTGCAGGTCAGATGGAGTCCTCAGAGTCCTACCTGCGAGGCCCCCTGCAGGCCCCAGGCCCCTTCTAGCTCACCCACGCCTCCGGGCTGCATCGCAGCCACAGTGGGCTACGGGACTGAGTGGTGGAGGGTAGATGCAGATGGCTCTGAAGGGTCACTTAAGCACTATTCGACGGGTCGATAAAGCATAGGCTTCCCATGCCCTGGGTCTCCCATGATTCTGATTTCTGATGCTCAAACACTCAGACTTTAACCTTGTATCTATTATTCTGTCATCTGTCCCTGAATTCTTCTTTCATGCTCCAAACGTGGGCACGACTTGTGTCTCTTTCTGATTCTGCCATTCCCTGCACGCAGATATGTTGTCAGAGGAACTGCACACAGGGCTGTTCACGGCCACAAAACCCCACAGAGCACATGTCTGTCTCACACCCTTCCCGTCCGGGCTGAGACTGACGGGCTTGTAGAGTGAAGGGAGGCAAGTCATGTGGCTGTGAGTTTTCCTAGCCGAGAACCTGGGTGAGGGCAGGGGCAGGAGGGTGGGCAGGAATGCCCCCCCTCAGGTGTCGCGTGATCTTGGCCTCTTTTTCCCCATGATCACCTGCACCATTTTTTTCTCCCACACTCCCTGCCCTGGAGACTGATTTAGCCCCGACTCTTGCCCTAGAGCTGCCCTCACAAATTCTCAGGGACAGCCTTGCCCCGGGCAGTTACAATGGCCTCATGACAGACATGCCGTGTCCCACTTAGCAGCCCCAGCAGGCTGCTCCCGCCTTGGTTTTCTTCCCCAAGGGGTCTGGATGCCTCCTCTTGGTTTTCCTCCCTGGCTTTTCTTTGAATGCTATGCGTGTCCCAAAGGGCCCTCTCACATCCCTGGCTGATCTGTGCCACCAGGGCAGAGTTGACAGGTCTGTGCAGGCGACTCCAGGTCCAGACTGTGCGCCAGACTCACAGGGCTAAGGAGTCCTCAGCATCTCGGTATGACCAATGTGACACTGAGCACTTCTCCATCACCCACTCTTGCACGCCTCCCTTGATCCCTACCTTGGGGAAATGGCTTCCTGCCCTTCCCTGGTGGTTAGAGGGCAGAGAGTTCCCGCCACACAAACAGCGTCAGGAGATAGACACTGGATGTGGTCTCAGAGTCCCCTGCCCAGCAGTCACCAGGCCACAGAGGGCTGCTTTGGGAAGGGGGGTCCCTGGCTCTTGTCACTTTTCCTCAGGTCCCTCAAATCTCCTGTCCCTGGGCATGCCCACTTCCTGCCTAGTCCCCACATTACTTTCTGAAGTCCAGCTGTAATGACATCACCTCATTGCTTAAAATCTTCCAGTAGCAAAAAAAGGAAAAGTCAATCTTCCAGTAGCCTTGCTTGGGGCCAGAACAGCTTAGCTGAGAAGTGTCTGGAGGGGCTTGCCCCTTCCTGCTATCCATCTTGGCTCTCCTTCCTCCAGCATCCCCTGCACTAAGGTCCCGGCTTATGTTACAAAAACATAAAAGCTGTTTTGTTACAGCAGAACAAGTCTGACCTCCCCCCACCCATATAGGCTGGAATGCACACTTGGGCCAGGCACTCAGCTAAGCAGTGCCTGTAATGAGCAGGTGTCGGCACACCATGATACCGCTTCGGGACAAAGTGAACCGAGGCGCAGGGAGCTGAAATGACGCATTCTGCACCCAGAGCCACCTCTCTTGTCTCCCCCCAGTTCTGCACTTCCTGACCTGTCACTCGCGAGCCTCACTGTATGTCTCTGTTGGGTCTCTCATCTTGTCTGCTGAAGTTTACGCTAAGTGAGGGCAAGCACCACGCCATTTATTCAACAATCTCTCCAGTGCACTCCCAACTCCATTCACTCCTCGGTCACATGCAGGCTGCAATATCCAACAGACAAGGCCGTTGCAGGGACCAAATGGAATCATGGGAAGTGCTGAGCCCTGAAGGGGTCCTGGGCAGAGCTGACGGCCCACACGCAAGGACCTGTCTTGTGGCCCTCCCTCTATTTGCAGAGCGTCTCCGGGCCATCCCTTAAGTGCCTTCCTGTTCTCCCTTCCCCAAAGGCTTTTTCCTCTTCTCACTCTGTTTCTCTCTGTAGGTTCTGCTGCGCTTCTGAGGGAGCCAGGCCACTCGGGTGTGCGACAGGAAGACCCCACGGAAGCAGATGGTTCCCCAGGGCCAGCCCAACCCACAAAACCCGTGGCTTACGTGAAACCCATGAGTATCCAGACCCGGGCGTACGCACGCACAGCTCCTCCTGCAGGAAGAGGCCAGAGAGGCAGAGGCCACCCTGCAGGAAGAGGCAGCCTCAGCAGGGCAGGCCCTCCAGAGGGAGCAGGTCGGCACAGGCAGCTGAACCACACCGAGGAGCCACGCCACCCCGTCAGACCAGCAAGCAGCCTGGCCCCACTCTTCACTGTTCCTGAAGCTACAGCGCAGGGAGACCACAGCCTCCACCCCGCCCAGGAGCACAGGCCTGCCCTGGAGCAGCCGGCGCCACAGGTCTATCTGTGCATAGGTTTCAGCCCCTTAGCTGGCTCAACCTTGCGTATCAGGCAGACCGCCTCCGGCACCCACGTGTTCGGACTTCCGGTGTTCTTTACCAATGTCTTCCACTGACCTGGCTCCTGCCATAGCCTTCCTTTCTCTTCCCTGGCTCTTGCTAACCAAATCCAAAACCCATTGCTGCCCTGCCCCTCTGGCCCCTCCTCTAAGTTGTTCTGTCCTAGGGAGTCCCCACTCCCTCCTCCCAGATCCCAACCCAGCCGTCCTCTGCTCCCCACGCCCTGTCCTGCCTGTGCTTTATTAAAGATGCATGTGTGCTGAGAACTCCGTGCCTGTGAACGTGAAGTCAACAGTGTCCCCTTGTGCGGCCGGACGTCTTAGAATAGGGGACACAACGAAACAGAGAAGGTGCACGCGAGGAAATAAGTCACAGGGCATTCAGAAGACTTTTTCCAGAGTATAATTAATACCCTCAGAGTACTCACATACAAAGCCAGCTAGACACACTTGGGGCAAGGGGCAGGACTGTCGGAACACGAAATTTGTAGTTAGATAGGACTCAGGAGCCAATCAGCAGCAGAGGGAGCCTGCTGGAACAAGGCAGAGTGCAGGTGTGACTGCTGAGCCCACCCCAATTACCTCCCACAGTGGGCCACAGAAGAACCTCCACCATGAAGAGTGGATCATTTGGGTCAGAGCAGTAACACTGCCTCATCATTTCTCCCAATGGAAGAGAGACACGACTCCTGGGCAGGGGATGGGAACACACTGGGGTGTCTGGAATATGACTAGAAAAATCGAAAAGCTGCTTGAGAGATGCAAAGCAGAATCAGGCTAGTGGTGCGTGGTGGCGTCAGTAAGTATGGGAAAGCAACAGGGCAGCCTCTTCAAAGCTTGCAGGGAGATGATTCTGAATGTAGAACTCTGTAACTAGGGGCTGACTCTGGTGTAGTGGATAAAGCTGCCGCCTGCAGTGCTGGCATCCCTTATGTGCACCAGTTCAAGTCCCGGCTGCTCCACTTTTGATCCAACTCTCTGCTATGGCTTGGGCAAGCAGTGGAAGATGGCCCAAGTCCTTGGGCCCCTGCACCTGTGTGGGAGACCCGGAAGAAGCTCCTGGCTGCTGGCTTTGGATCAGCACAGCTCTGGCCGTTGTGGCCAATTGGGGAGTAAACCAGCAGATGGAAGATTTCTCTCTCTCTGCCTCTCCTTCTCTATGTAACTCTTTCAAATAAACAAATCTTAAAAAAAAATTCTGTACCTAGTGAGAGACATGTTCACAGTAGGGCAAGGGGTGGGGGGCAGGAGGTAGGGGCTACAGGCACAAGGGTGAGGTCACGTGAAGGCCTGGGGAAAGAGAAAAAGCCGGAAGCCTAACCAAACTGGGCCTGGGGCAGGAACTTGCCCTGAATTTACAGTGCACAACTTATGATCTGCAAGCTACTAATCTCTTGCTGCCCCAGTACCTTGGCTGTATGTAACTGAATGCCATGGATGAGGTCATCCACCTGGCAGTTCTAGCGGCTGAGAAGTCCAAGAGAATGACATCTGGGGACTGAGTTCTGTGGGGAGCAACTCGGACTAGACTAAGTTACTGGAATTAAGGCTTATTCTATGCATCTGCTCTCCCACAATATGGCGCTGGGAGAGGAGAAAACAGCTTCTACCCAGCTGCCTCCAGTTCAACCAATAAACAGCAGGACCTGCTCCTGATTGGAGGAGAGCAGCGTGCTCGGCATGTGGGCAGCCGAGTTGGGATTGGTGGAGGAGGACTATAAAGGAGGAGAGAGACGGCATGCACCAGGAACATCTAAGGGGAACACCTGTGCAGCCCCCGAGAGAGCCGGCCGGCGGTGTGCCGCTCCCCTGCGGAAGTGGGGAATGTGGCAGGGGGAACCGCCCTTCCACGGAGGTGGAAGGGTCGGTAGCCAACCCGGGAAGAACCAGCAGCAAACCCGGGGAGGGCCGAGCAGACAAAAGAACAGCGCAGGGTCCTGTGTCGTTCCTCCACGAAGACGGGGAGCGACAAGTTCTTGCTGTATCCTCGCCTAGCGCTGGGCACCCCACAGGGAGCCAGAGCTAAGGAGTGCAGACAGCTGCCTTTGTAGCAAAGCCACTCCCTCAGCAACTCACTCATCCATTCATGAGGGCGGAGCCTCCGTGACCCAATCACCACCCAGAGTTCCCACCAGCCAGCACTGCTGCACTGGGGATCAGGTCCTAACACGGAACTGGGGGGTCACGCTCAGACCACTGCGCTGTTGGAGCCACACTGAGCTGCCACCTGCTGTGAAAACAAAGACAATCTTGCCAGCCAGGGAAAACACACAAAGCCCCACGAGGAAGGAGTGAGATGCAAAGACCACTAAGCAAGGCAACAAGAAAACTGCAGGACCAAGTCTGAATAAATGTGATTTGGGAAGAGAGCTGAATAACCTGGGACTAAAAGTTCAAAAGACTGACACAGACATTTGGGGGAAGGGGCAGCCAAAAGCCCCAGGAGTTCTCGTCTAGTTTCTGGAGATGTTAGAGGGGCTGAGTATTGAGCAATGAACACTAGGAACCACTAGATGAGTTGAAACAGGATGTGGAACTTGAAAGCGATCGATGAAAGAGTGCGTTAAAAAATTTGAGGAATCAAACAACAAGCAGGAAAGGTTAAGAGAGACAAGGACGAATGAAACATGCTAAATGAGGAACAAGTCATCTGAGCGCCGCCTCACGGCTTCCTTGGCAGTATTTTGAGTGTTTTACCGTTGAGCAAGAGGTTGGCTGTAGGTATCCCATGGATGTGCTTGGTCCCATTTTTTTAGAGTTGGATTAAAAATGTATTACAAATTGGATTTTGTACTTTATTAAGTAGGCTTTGGACAGTTGATTTTAGGACTCATTTGCAAGAGAAAATTTCCAAGAAAAATACAATTTCTCCCAAACAAGAATTTTTCCTTGGGAATTCTATTATCCCCTTAAATGACTCTTTCTCTTGTTGGTTTTTTTTTTTTTTTTTGTTTTGTTTTGTTTTTTTTGTAGTACTACAATTCTTTCCTTAAAACTTCACTAATTGCCATGTAGGATGTGTTTGCCAAAACCAAGAAAAAATGACAACAGAAAGGAAGAATGTGTGTTGCCAGTTTTCCATGGCCACTGTGTCTTTCCCCACAACCACACAACACCCCCACACAGACATGTGCCATGAAAGCATCAATGTGGTTTGCTGTTGCAGGCACAGGGCACGCCGCTCACCAGATGTCAGCGTCCAGGCGGGTAGTGCAGGTGTGGCAAGGTCTCCGTGGCGTCCAGGCCCCCGCTGAGCGTCCAGGCGGGTAGTGCAGGTGTGGCAAGGTCTCCGTGGCGCCAGGCCCCTGCTGAGCGGGCAGAGGAGACGTGTGTTGGAGGCCAGCATGCACCACAGCAACCATGGCTGCAAAGGGAGCTGCTCCCGGCTTGTGACTGGGGTCGCTGTCTTTGCTAAGTCTGGGAGCTTCCACCCTGGGGTGCCTCTGTTGCCCCCTGCCCACGCACCTCCATCTCCTTGCTGAGCTCTCTCTCTGCCAGACGCACAAGCTCCAGGTTATGCAGTTAATCCTCTGCCAATGGGTCATTTCCAGGGGTTTTCTCCAACCTAAATGCTTTGCTAAACATTTGCACCCAGACACTCAAGTACTAGCTTCTCCCCCTCCTCAGCCCCCAACTTCAGAGAATAAACTCCTGACGTGATAGCCTGTCAAATGGTACGGCCCCATCTATTTCAGCAGATGCTGAGAAATCACATTCCAGTTAGTTTGCATCAATGTCAGCTCCCACCAGCAGGGCATGAGGGCACCTCTTCCTGGCAATAAATGTTGGAACTCTGTAATGTTTGCCAATTTCTTGGTTAAAAATATTTATCTCATTACTATTTGAATTTGAATTGGTTTGACTACTAAGGCTTACTATCCTTTTTATTTTTTCTCTTTTAATTCACAATATATCTGCTTGCATGTTTTCTATTTTGCATTTTTTTCCTTATCCATTCGTAGGAACTCATGTAATATGAGACGGCGACACTTTCCTGTATGTGCTGATATGCTGTCCTCATTCCAGCTTCCCGGTTTCAGCTGCATTCAGGCTGCCTCTTTCTTCTTTCCTTTTTTTTTTTTTTTTTGTGGAAGGCATAGTGACAGAGGGAAGGAGAGAGGAGAGAGGGAAAGGGAGAAAGAGAGAGAGAAAGAGAGAGAAAGCGAAAGCAATATCGAGATCTTTCAACCACTGGTTCACCCCACAAATGGCCACAATGACCTGGGCTGGGCCAGGCTGAAGCCAGGAACTCCCTGCTGATCTCATCTGGGGGTGGCAGGGGCCCAAGGACTTGAGTCGTCAGCCACTGCTCTCCCAGGCACAGCAGCAGAGCTGGATTGAAAGCAGAGCAGCTGGGACTCTGGCACTCTGATATGGAATGCTGATGCTGCAGGCCTGCCACACCTGTGTGCCCAGGCTCAGCTCAGGGCTGTGCGTCTCCTCTGGCCCTGGCCACACAAGCTGTTCTTCTAATGCCTGCGGGGGCTGTGCTCTCCCACCGAGAGCCAGGGCGTAACATCCGCCAGGCAAGCGGACCACCTTGCACAGCAGCATGGAAAATGTCTTCTCCGTCACGCCGAGACTGACACCAGTCATCTCTTGATATGACTGCGGTTCAGGGGACTCTTTACCGAACTGGGGCTTCACTGCTAGTTCAGTTCCTCTTGGGCACTGTCCACATTTCTGGAGGTTCTTCCAGTCCCTGGCGACATCAGTCTTCCAGAGCCACCCCTGAGGGGGAATTTCTCTCTCTCACATCCGCCTGGGTTGCCTGGGCCTCCTAGGTGGTTCACATCTGCCCAGGAGAACTGGGTGCTCCCCTGCCCTCAGGCCCTTTAGCCAAGATGCCCTAAAACACCCATTTCTTCACTCTTTGCTCAAAGATGATGGCAATTCTAGCACACAACCCACTTTTCCTGCTTTTCTAAGATCTTTCCCTTCCCTCCCACATCCACCCGCGGAGTGGCCATGGAGTGGAAGGTGCCAGGCCCCTGCCGGGAGCTACCAGCCACCTTCAATGCTCTTGCCTACCTGACCATCCCTCTCCCCGTACTCCTGTGCAGACCGTGGCCCACAGTGGGCATGGACTGCCTGATGCCTCTTCCCTGTGGTAAAGCTTTCTCCCCAGGATTCTTTGGAGCTTTGGCTCTTGATTACCCAAAAACAAGGATTTCAGGACTCAACATTTTTCTCTGCTATAGATTTCAAGGGTGTGTTTTGAAAGTCAAAATCAAAAGGCACATATTGGAGCAGCATGGAATCATTTCATTTCTGAATTTAAAATCCTGCAGCAACTCTGTTCCACAGATACACTGAGAGTGTGCAAGGCAATGCTCTTAACAGGGGTGGGATGCAGGAAGGATGACTGGGGTAGCAATGAGGATCAGGTTTAGTGCCTCACCAAATGCACGCCTACTTCTGTCAAGACACCTGTTTTCCACAAGCATTTGGGAGAGCCTTCAGCTGCAGGGATTTCAAGACTTCTTGCACTGAAAACATCTTCTAAAGCCTTTTCCAGGAACTTTTTGAAGGAACCTCTTACTTAGCTGATCCCAAGCATGGTTTATGGTCAGTATAGGACTTTTATCGTTGGATTGCTAAACTAGTCTCTCCTAGTGGCTTGCCCTGGTTTATGCCAGGTACTGGGGACGGGTGTCCCACCACCCCAGGAACAGACTGCACTGGCTTTTTGGCTTATGGTCCCTATGTCATGAGGCAAAGTTGAAAGTCAGAACCTCTGTGTTCTTTCCATGTATAGTCACTCTCCAGGCCCCAGATCTGCAGCCTGTGACTGGCCACAGATTCTGTGCTGTAAGTCCGCAAGCCCCTCACTCCAGCT